AAATTAATTGATTGTGTGACAAAATAATTGATTGTGTTTCAGAGTGCGTGAATGTTCTAAGAAGTAAGACACGATGTTACCAAGTTAATTCTCGCGTTATCTCTAAACTTCTTTCAGTTGAAGCAAATCTCTGGTAATGGTCCCTCAGAATTATCTAATATAAAAATCAATTAAAATCCATTTAATCATAACTCTTTTTAACAACGTCTTATTAATTAACAGAAGCGTAAGATATACATAAAACTCTTTTTTTTTTTTAAGTTGCACAAAACTTCTACAAAATAATGTTTTTTTTGAAGGCACCATGCTGTAGACAAGATAGAACAGGAGAAGCTTACGGTGTAGTCTATTGTTGTTGACAGGAACAGGACTGAAAGGTTCGGAAAAACCCGTCACAAGGATGATACCCTCAGTTCCCTGTAGCACGGTTCCCCCACGTATGACATGGGAACAACGAGAACCAACTGGGTACTTCTTCCGGGGCGCCTGGTAGTCGCTGATGTGTCAGGTTAAAGAAGATTATGACGCCGGATGCAGGAAAAATGTCCAGGTGAAGTTTCCAACAGGGGTGAAATAATGACCAGATTAAATTTATTTTTAGAAAAGTTTTCAACATTGAAAATAATATTAAACCTAAAAAGTGGAGACAAAAATGATAGATAGGGGAGACTACTTTCAATAAAAAGATCATGCATCAATATTTTTTAACGTCTTAATATGAACGGTTTGTTTTGGGACAGATAAATGAGTTTTAAAACACGCAATTGAAGATTGAAAATATTCGTTGAAGATTTTCGCACTGCTCTAAATTTTGAAGCCAGTACACATTTTACAAACAAGATCTACGAACAACACTTTAACTTTGAAATGCGTAAAAGATGTGTTTTAAAATGACTAATTTTTTTCTATTTTATGTCAGATTCTAATGCTAGGATCTCCAATATACGGGGACATTATTACACGGATGTCAGCCGGACAAAGTGCGATCAGATTCTCAAGGCCAGTACCGTAAAATGGCACAAGCCCCTCCTGTGTGTCAACAAAGCTAAAAACTTTACAATGAAGTGGTTCCCTCACTCCAACCCGTTCAGATCATCCAATGTAAGTTGTTTTGGCTCCACACAACATGAGTTGACTTATTTCCTCATGGTAGCCAGTTCAAGACGGCTACTTTTATTTAGTTATTGCAGCATACGGCATTTATCTATTCATTATCTCAATTTCTTTTAAGACAGCTAGTGTAATTTATATTCAGAGTTATACATTATGCACAATCCAACCTGCTCCATGCACTTGGTTAAAGGCTGTTTAAGCTTTACGCTGTATTAATGATTATTTAATACCGAGTGAAGACTGTATGTCAATTGGCTTTTTAATGTATATAACATTTAACTCTTCGTTTGAGAGCAAGTGCTTGCCACTCTATTAATAATTCCATTCTAACTTGAATGCAATCGAAGTCAAAAAGAAACAAATGCCTCATTCCTAGACTATAAACATTCTTTAAATTGAAGAGTCTTTTCTGTCAAGTGGGTTGCGGGTTGGGAACCTCAATTTCCACATAATTTCCATTCTCAGTTTCTACATGGATACATTGAGATATGTAGTGGTGGATATTTATTTAGTATTTTGGAAAAGTTGTATCGGGGTCAACGGTCCTAATTTGAGAAAGCCTGAGTTATTGCTGAGAGCCGAGTTGTAAACGTTGAACTAAATCCATTGCTGCTAAGTCTAAATGCATTCTCATTTTGTGAACCATTAACAATCATCCCCACTGTAATATGGAAAGGATTGCGTTCAAAGATCAAGCAATGGCAATTTTGATGGCTTTCAAACAAAAAATCCGCTGTTTTGTTTTGACTTTTGTGTTTCCCAGAGTGTTTGGGCGCATCCTTTGAAGGACATGCTGCCCGCCAACATTGCGATCGACGACATCCCGTCCACGGGTCGCCATATCATACTGTTCGACCACTACCTCCATCTCACTGGACAGCACATCAGCGTGTATGAAGAGAAGATGGTCGTTATACGAGACGCGCTGATCAGAGTGTTTGCTCGCAACCCAAACGTTATCGCCGCCCTTCAGGTGAGTAGCGGGCAGTTTTGTAGACCACTAGTTGTGTCCCACAGATAAGTTTTTTAATGTCGTCATCGCCGTCCTTCAGGTGAGTAGCGGGTGTTGACTACTACCCGTGTCCCACAAATTAGTTTTCACTAATGAGGAGACGCACCCGACACAAAATGTCCGCAAATATGTAACAAAGTACTTGCTGGGGACTGTGTGTGACAGGGTACCGGTGTGATGACACTGTCCATAGTTCATTTTTGTAGGCACTGTGTGTGTTATTGTACCTTTGTGATGGCAATGTCAATAGCTCATCTTGATAGGCACTATCTTTGACAGGGTACCGGTGTAATGATGGTTATGATTGATGATTGAGTACTTTTATAGCGCTTGTGTCCATGCTATTCTAGCATGCTCACAGCGCTCTTGTGACCTAACATCTATCTAAAGAAAACTGCTTTAAATGTTTCTGAAATGACATTTATCGTTTTCAATAACCCTCAAAGATTGAGGCAAACTGTTTTACAATTTAGGCGCAATAGCTTCAAAAGAGCTCACCCAATGTGATATCTTTCTGTGTCAATCTACACAAGGAACCCTCAGTAAGGACTGTTGAAGAGCGCAGGTTCTGTAAGGATACATTTTCAGAAATCAGTTTTTAAAGATATACGAGTGCAGAGCCTTCTATACAGCTAAACGTTTGAGACAGAATTTTGTGGTCAATGCGCTCACCCACAGGAAGCCAGTGGAGATCTTTAAGAACTGGTTTGATGTGGTCAGATTTCTTTATCCACGATACAATGCCTGCTGCGGTATTCTCTACCTTCTGGTGTTTCTGAAATTAGGTTTTGAGGTCAACCCCACAAACAACTGTTACAGTAATCTAATCTTGATGGCACTGTCCATAGATCATTATGAGAATGATTTACTATTTAATGAAATGGATTACTTAATATATAATGAGACTGAAGATTCAATAATACATGAGGCCGAAGAATAAAATTGTACATGGTATGGAAGATTTGCTTAACGAAACAAACTTTCTGGAGTTTAAACAAGAAGCGTGAATCCTAATCCGGTGCAATGAATTAGAGGTTAGAGTTAGGATGTATATAGCTCCTTGCAGTTTCAATTGATTTTATCCCATCTGCCCATCTGGATCAAAAAATGGAAGGATAGTCCCTACAAATTGGGGGATTTTAATTTGTTTCAAGCGAAATGTGGACCAATGAAATTTTTTTTTTTTTTTTTTAAAGTGGATACTAATATTAGAATTGGAATGTCTGGGCGAGACATCTTTTATGCTTCAATGAATTTGATTTCCTATAAAAACTAAGCTCGCTTAAGCAGTATGACGTAGATATTTACCCGTTGTCGTAAGAATATGTTCTGACGGCTTACTACTGTTCATTCACCACACCAGGGACAGAGGCGTAGGAAAGGGTGCGGACGGAGTGGGGTCCGCGCCGGGCGGCACTTTCGTCTTTATATTTTTGGATCGGGCGCCAAAAAAAGATTGGCCCACCCCGGTAGGCACCAACCCTAGCAATGTCAAGGCCAAGGGAACTGGGCGATGACGAAGAGCTTAAAGACGTGCTTAAAATATCTCAGTCATGATGAAAGCAGAGTTTATTTTGAGCCTAAATGAACACATTCCTTTATTTGTAACTATGGGCTCAATTTTCTGTTGCCAAAAAAAAAAACCAAAAAAAAAAAACCTAACATCTTGGAATAACCTCTTCCTGTGACGTGGCTTCACCAAATGCGGAACAAAACTCGCTTCCAATAATGAAGAAAACGATTTAATTGGTTTGTATCCATTATGTCTTTAGGTTCAGTCTCTTTGTTCTTAGAGAAAAAAAAAAGAGGCATGGCTATAGTTCATACTTCAATAACAGCTTCCTTTCATTCCACACGTATATCACCGTGTTGACATTTACATTTTAAAAAAAAAAAAGCAAAAACCCAAAAAAGACAAACTTTTTATATAGATTTATTTCTTTACCATATTCAGTGAGGTAAAGTTTAATTTTATAATTATGTTAGTCTTGTAATTTGTATTTTAAATTTCGTTGTTTTGCCCTTCATCGCTCTTTGGAGAAGTGCGGGGTAACCATGGGCTACCGCGATGGGTTTTTTTTTTTTGGTAAGTGGTTTTATTGTCGTTTTATTTCATTGTGGATGGCGGTCAATGAATTATTAAAATTTACTTTTAGTTGGTTTTTTTTTTTGTTTTTGAAGTCATTTTTTTCCTTTCAAAACGTGTTAGTAATTTAGTAATTTCATTTTTTTTTTTTGTTTAGTTGTTTTTTTGTCTTTTTTTTTTATTGTTGTTGTCGTTCATTTATTTATTAAATTTTTCTTTTTTTTGGTTTTTTTTTTTTGTTTTTGACGTCATTTTTTTCCTCTCAAAACGTGTTAGTAATTTAGTAATTTCAGGAAGTGTAGTGTCGCCCCTCTTCTTTTATTATTATACTGTAGGTATCCATTGTTAAATATTTGCAGCATACCAGTTTAACATCTTAACATCCCTGGTCTACATTTCATTAAACAATATCAAAAGATCCATGTTGTGTAGATTTAGTTTTAACGAAAGACATCCTTTTCCAATTATTGCTTGTCAAATAACGCACTGAAAATAAAACATAGTTTGCAATACGACAGCTCATATATATATATAACCATACAGCCTTGATATGTCATTTATAGAGCTCTCGTGCTGCAAACTTTGTTTTATTTTCAGTGCGGTATATCAAGGATGTATCATTATATATATATCTTGGTATTCGGAGTAAATTCCGATCAATGCAAACACCATGTTTTAGAAATAACATCAAAAGGTGAAAATATTCCAACTTTCTAGAACAAACAAAACTAAAGAATGATTTTATCAATCCGTGTGTCCACCCCCTCCCCCCCCCCCCCCCCCCCCCCCCCCATTTTCTCAAACTCATAAATTGAGTCTAACTTTTGGAGCCAATGAGCCCGCTAAGATAAGATTTCCATTCACTGGAACATTTTTAAATACTTCCGGGTTAATTTCAGTGACTAATTCAGCTGCTTCTACAACGATGTGAGTCTTTATGTTGCATGTATATTATAGTTGAATATTGTAACATACAGCATCGCAGCAGGAGCGTGGAGCAAGAGGGCCGTTTGGCTGTCAACACTGGTGGTACAAGCTGGCTTGACTGGGGAGGGATTGGAAAAATAAAGTTTAGCAATTTTTGGGTTCACTCACTTTAGTAACTTTGAAAATAAAATAGTATACATTTTTAAAATCATCATTATTTTTTCGCGAACAAAGTTATCTTAGGTCAGGGGTCATTCAACGGTTTTTAGCTTCCGTTTACTGTTCGTCTTTTAGCCTCAGATATGGACGTTCGTGACGTTTTGGTTGTTTTTTAAAGGACGGAATTTCATTAATTTATCAACTGATCATTAAAAGTGATTCACTTGTAATTATCTTTAGAATAAATTAATATGAGTGTAATTTACGTTAGAATTAAGAAATTATGTGACAGTATAGTTTAATGTGTTTGCAAGAGAGATCTAAAGAGATACGCACACACACAGAAACAATCAGCGATTTTAAAGTGATACAGAAAGATAGAGAAAGGAGCAGACAGACAGGAAGACAAAGACAAGAATTGAGGGAGAAGAGATAGATACAGTGAGAAAGCGGAGGAGAGCGACAAAGAGAGAGAGGGGGTGTGAGAGGGAAGCAAGAGAGATACAGAGAGTGAGAGAAAGAAAGAAACGCACACAAAGAAAAACATAAGAGAGATACAGAGAAAGAGAACGTTAGAGAGGAAGGGCAGGGGGGGAAGATAGAGACAAGAAGAGAGGAAGAAAAGAGAGGCGACGAGAAAGAGGGGGGATACACGGAGAGAGAGAGAGAGAGAGAGAGAGAGAGAATATGCCCAATAGTAACATTCATGTCATGACCAACCTGCGGTGGGCAGGTCAATGGGTTCGTCCCGCCCACCTGACCTGTCTCTTATACTCCCAATGCTGGTGCCCCAACCTTCCTCAATACAGAGGGTAAATTCCTGGGACCCTGGCCGGATTGCTTTCAGTAACAACGAACCCTGGGGAGTGATTTTTAAATAGGGCAAAACCTAATCCAACTGAGCCTGTTCAGCGGCGTGTGTCTTTGTGTGTTTATATGTGCGTTTTATGTGCATGTGTGTTTGTGTATGTGTGTGACATTGTGTGAGGTTTTATTAGTGCGTGTGTTTTGTGAGTGTATAATAAACATTATTGTCATCAATCTTTTATCTACATGTTTGAGAAATCCACATACAAAAAGATATTAACTAGCATGCTATTGTATGGAGGGCACCAAATAAATCTACATAGAACTGTACTAAACATTTTTTGTTTGTTTCTTTTATTTATATATGTCTTTTTTTTATTGTATTAAACTTACGACTAATTCGTTTCTCATGATCCAGCTTAAATAATATACACGCAATAAATCCGATGGTAGAGAGATGCAAGAAGTTTGAAGCTGGATCCTGCTAAACAGACACTTACCCGTGGGTAGTTCCAGTTAACTGTTCCCGTTGAACAGTCCTGGGGTACTGTCACATTTAGAACGAAATCCTTGTCTAAAAAATTGCTGGAAAGACATAAAGCTATTTAGATATGTTGATCGATGGATTAAATATGAGAAAACAGGTTTGTTGAATATTTTGTTCAACAAAATCTGAATCCATCGTAACATCCATCAATTATCATATACAACTATCTTGTATGGGCCCAGATAAAAAATTCTGAAAATTCTAACAGATATCAATAAAGGAATATTTATTCATTCATCGTAAATCACTAAGATTTAAGATAGTAATTTTTTTTCTCCGATTGCAACGATCATATTGAGGGATGGTGTTGCTTGTAATTATTACTTATATTATGTATTCCCATTCGCAGACGTCCATGGTTATCTAACACAGCACGATGGCCAGAACTTCAACTCGAAGTGTTTACATCACTGCATGTATTAATTGAATGTTATACACCACATGAAATAATACCTCTGTGAACTAGAGCAAATATAATTGTCATAACTTCTTCCACTTCACATTTATTGAATCAACTTTAAGATGCCGTTTAATACTGAAGCAGTCATAGCAAGGGCTGATCAAGAAGAATCCTCAAAGGCTATCCACCCCCATCACCCTCTTCTTAACTTCCTGTCCCTTCTACTTAGCAAAACAATACATTCTTCCGAAACAATATTAATATATAAATATTTTATCTGTGACACAGATGATCGTTTAATTAAATTTCTCAAGTGCCATCATTTCCACATTAGAATTAAAATAAAGATAATAGTAATGGCAAGTGGTATGTGAGGGCATTCCTCGATCTTCTACATTAGTAAACGTAAGCCCACAGCCATTCTGGTCAATGTGAATACCAAACCGAGACAAAGAAAGTTTTTTTTATATCTATCAAACATAAAGTCGATTGCAGGGTTTTTCTTACCTAAGGTGCTGACACCCCTGGAGGTGCGAGAAGTTATTTCATGAGGGTGATAGGAAAGGATAGTGAAGCACAGAAGAAACATTAGCTTTAAAAGTATGATATGAATGTTTTTATATTTTTAAACATTTCTTCTTCAACATTTAACTTTATATAAAAAGCCACAAGTTTTCTTTTATAAGTTCTCTACTTCTCTATTTCTAGATTCAATAAATAAATTAGGAGTGCATTATTTTCAAATGTAAAAATGCAATGTTACTTATGTTAGGATGTGCATGAATCAGTAAAACAATTTGTAGGGGTGTGAGGCAAGTCAAATTATCTGTATGGGGTGCGGAGTATAGCAACGGTTGTGAATTACAGGTCTAATTGTTAGGACAAAAGCTTGTCGTGTAAGTAGTTTACTACATGTGTAAAAAGTGATCAATGTGTCCATTTGTTTACCTGACGCAAATTATCAATTTGTTTACCCGACACAAATGATAAATTTGTTTACCTGACACAAATTATCAATTTGTTTACCTGACACAAATGATCAATTTGTTTACCTGACACAAATGATCGATTCGTTTACCTGACACAAATAATCAATTTGTTTACCTAACAAAAATGATCGTTTGTTTACCTGACAAAAATGATCGTTTGTTTACCTGACACAAATGATCAATTTGTTTACCTGACACAAATGATCAATTTGTTTACCTGACAAAAATGATCAATTTGTTTACCTGACAAAAATGATCGTTTGTTTACCTGACACAAATGATCAATTTGTTTACCTGACACAAATGATCAATTTGTTTACCTGACACAAATGATCAATTTGTTTACCTGACACAAATGATCAATTTCTTTACCTGACACAAATGATCAATTTGTTTACCTGACAAAAATGATCGTTTGTTTACCTGACAATAATGATCGTTTGTTTACCTGACACAAATGATCAATTTGTTTACCTGACGCAAATTATCAATTTGTTTACCTGACAAGATTGATAAATTCGTTTACCCGACACAAATGATCGATTTGTTTAACTGACACAAATGATCAATTTGTTTACCTGACACAAATGATCAATTTGTTTACCTGACACAAATGATCAATTTGTTTACCTGACACAAATGATCGTTTGTTTACCTGACACAAATGATCAATTTGTTTACCTGACACAAATGATCAATTTGTTTACCTGACAAAAATGATCGTTTGTTTACCTGACACAAATGATCGTTTGTTTACCTGACACAAATTATAAATTTGTTTACCTGATACAAATGATCAATTTGTTTACCTGAAACAAATGATCGATTTGTTTACCTGACGCAAATTATCAATTTGTTTACCTGACACAAAGGATCGATTTGTTTACCTGACACAAATGGTCAATTTGTTTAACTGACACAAATGATCAATTTGTTTACCTGACACAAATTATCAATTTGTTTAAGTGACACAAATGATCAATTTGTTTACCTGACACAAATGATCGATTTGTTTACCTGACACAAAGTATCAATGTGTTTACCTGACACAAATGATCGATTTGTTTACCTGACACAAATAATCAATTTGTTTACCTGACACAAATGATCGATTTGTTTACCTGACACAAATGATCAATTTGTTTACCCGACACAAATGATCAATTTGTTTACCTGACACTAATGATCGATTTGTTTACCTGACACAAATAATCAATTTGTTTACCTGACAAAAATGATCGATTTGTTTACCTGACACAAAGGATCAATTTGTTTACCTGACACAATTAATCAATTTGTTTACCTGACACAAGGGATCAATTTGTTTTCCCGACAAAAATGATCAATTTGTTTACCTGACACAAATTATCAATATGTTTACCTGACAAAAATGATCGATTTGTTTACCTGACACAAATGATCAATTTGTTTATCTGACACAAATGATCGATTTTTTTACCTGACACAAATGATCGATTTGTTTACCTGGCACTAATGATCGATTTATTTACCTGACACACATGATCATTTTGTTTACCTGACATATGTCGTCAGTGTGCACGGATCATCGAAAGCCACCTGAGAGTGAACCAGGCCGATGGTCAACAACACCACTAAAACCCGGCACACCATTGTGTGGCAAGGAACGTTCCACTTGTTAGCTATGATGACACACAGAGCTTTTTCAAATTTTAATATTATTTTAGTTTTTACTTTTGACGGACTGTGTGCTCGAGTACACGTTGATTTTAATGTTTTTATATTATAGTCCTTGAATTAAGTTCCTAATATTCTTCTGTGCTGTGTGCTCTACATGCAAAGATTGTCTCCAGATTGTTAATGCGTGTAATCAAAGCAGCTGTTATTTGGCTGTGGAAGGAAGACAACTTCGTGTTCCATTAGCAATCTTTATCATGTTTTATAAACTTTTTTTCTTATTTTTTCATGCAAATTAAATTGTAGGATTTTTCTCATAAGCGGTTTTTCTTTCAATGACCTGCAAAAATTCATAACGTTTGAGAAGCATTTTGTGTGTGTGTGTGTGCAGCTTAAGTCCATCACTCTCTTTGAACGATGGGCGCAATGTTATTTTAAATATCAAACAACAACAGTCAGGTTAAAAAACACAAGTGTCATCGTTTGACCTATCACATAAACACAGCCCCAAGACACTATTAAAACGACTGTAACACACAAAAATATTTTTTAGGAACGTGATTTCGCAAAATAAAAATATAGCTTTAAACCTGAACATGACCCCCCCCCCCCCATAAATTACTAGCAATAGATATTTAACATGTTTCGTTCAATTTGATCAATAAATTCTAAGTACTTGAAAGGTTCACAGTTGAAGTGATTACCTCATAAAATGCCAGAGCAGGTAGCGTCGTTAAAAAAAAGTACGTTTTAACGTTGGAGAACATGGCTTCGAAAAAAAAAATCATGTTTGTGAGCTAACAGTTAATTGTATTGTTGAACACCATACATATCGCAAGTCAAGTGAATTTAATCAACTGACGTCACAGTCGCAGCTATTATACAAAGTCTTTTTTTTAAATATTGATTTCAAGCATCTAGTCCCAAGGAACGCGTGTTGCAAGGCTCTGTGTTTCAGCTGATTCCTATCTTTGAGAGATGTATTACTTGGTCCTTGTACAACTTGGCTTAATGGTCTTCGGCATTGTGAATTCTCAAGGAATTTACGACAACCCATGCACACTATTTGATTCACCAAGGTAAAAAAAAAGAAAAGTAAGAAGACAATATAATTGCGTAAATCCTTTAAGATATTAATAGCTTTTTACAAACGAACTAGATTTATCTGACTATCTGAGGCTTTAAACAAATAAAATAACCTCTTTCAACTGCAGCCGGTATTTTGATAAAGATGGTGTTATGTACCTGACCGTACCAGTGAACTGTGTCTCTGGAGATGTCTATTGGAATTACCCACAGGTAATGTGATCGACATGCGTCTTTTCTTTACGTGGACATTTTGTCATGAATGCTTAGATTAATGCCCTTACCTTGTAGATAGATTCGCTTGCAGAAGTTAAGAATGAATGTTCAAAATTCATTTAAAATACACACACAGCTGTCAGTTCTCAAGGCTTTCCAAAATAAAGTATCGACCAATTCATGAAATAGTTTTTAAAACAAAAAACCAGTATGCTTCATTTGAACATGAGGTGCCACTCAGCTTACATCATGTTAAGTCATTCTAATTCGTTTTAAGTCATGTTAAATCATTTTAACTCAGGCTGATTCGTTTTAAGTCATGTTAAATCATTTTAACTCAGGCTGATTCGTTTTAAGTCATGTTAAATCATGTTAACTTAGGCTGATTCGTTTTAAGTCATGTTAAATTACGCTGATTCGTTTTAAGTCATGTTAAATCATTTTAACTCAGGCTGATTCGTTTTAAGTCATGTTAAATCATTTTAACTCAGGCTGATTCGTTTTAAGTTATGTTAAATCATGTTAACTTAGGCTGATTCGTTTTAAGTCATGTTAAATTAGGCTGATTCGTTTTAAGTCATGTTAAATCATTTTAACTCAGGCTGATTCGTTTTAAGTCATGTTAAATCATTTTAACTTAGGCTGATTCGTTTTAAGTCATGTTAAATTAGGCTGATTCGTTTTAAGTCATGTTAAATCATTTTAACTCAGGCTGATTCGTTTTAAGTCATGTTAAATCATGTCAAGTCCTGTGTCAGAATCGCAATCTCACTATCAACCGTAACAGAGGCGAAGTGAGCAAATCATAGTGCCTAATATTTTATTATACACGATCACAATACGAAATACATCTCATGAACATCCGAACATACTTAGAACTAGTATCATATTAATCTCAATACTTCAATTACTAGCTTCTCTGGATAATCTTCTTTACTTAGAATTCATAATGTAACAACACATCATAAACCTGCCAATACTCTTATATAAACATCGTGGATCAACTGTTGTAGTATTCAAGCTCCATTGTTGTTTTCACTCCTTGCTCTCCTCTCATTGGCTAGTTTTCTCTAAGTCCCAATACTCTTTATATTACTTAATTAATAACTCCCTTATTACTTAACTCCCCTATATTCATATCTGTGACAGTCATGCTATTTGATTTTAAGTCATGTCAATTCATGTTAAGTCATGTTCATTCATGTTAAGTCATGCCAATTCATGTTAAGTCATGTTAATTCATGTTAAGTCATGCCAATTCATGTTAAGTCATGTTAATTCATGTTAAGTCATGCCGATTCATGTTAAGTCATGTTAATTCATGTTAAGTCATGCCAATTCATGTTATGTCCTGTTAGTCATGTTAAGTAAGAAGTGTTTACTTATTTTTTTTTTTAGAAAGTGCACCGACGAAAAACATTTTACAAAAATTGTTTTTATTTTCTTATATTTGAATTATTTAAATCGACGAACCAAAAGAAAGAGTTCCGTTCTTTAAATTTTCCAACTTTTTTTTCAATTTTTTTGAAAAAGGGTGCTGCTGGGGGTTTTCTTTTATTTCTCCCCCCCCCCCCCCCCTTTTTCAACTGGCTACGCTACTGGTGCCACTGCAAAACTGAATGGCCTTCATAATTTAAAAAAAAAATTTTCCTAAACATATTTTAGAGTTCATCAAAGTTGCTTATTTTTCTATCCATCTTATTTTGTTCGTTTCATTTGAATGTTCATTATTTTCAAAGTTTACAATAAGTCAGCAGTGTTTCATAATTATGAAAGTAATTTTTTTTAAAAATCAAGCACTTAATACTTGGTGTAGATCCTCATTAAATCCACATTATTATGTAAACTTTTTTAGCGAGTAAAATATGTCATGATATTTAACGCAAAGAAAAACAGAAACAATTCATTCAGCTACTCAATGTACATGTAACTTCAATTCAGGCAGTAAGTAGTTTTTACATGCATTCAGACCTTCAGTGAAACATCGTTCATGCCTTAAGTTAAACATCTCATTAAACTTGCCTTCATTTTGTCGCCAGGGCTCCATCGTCCTAAATGCCACCAGGTCCTCCACGGATGTATACGCCCTCTGCATCGACGCCACCCAGGGCACGGAGTTTGCCGGACTATGGGAGATAACAGGAGGTGTGGAGGAAGCTCTCGAAATACCAACTGAAGGTTTGTGCCTTAAAATGTGAAATTGTCCTTACAGGAAATCATTTTTTTTATTTGATTCTTTTTTTCTTGCTGATCATCGCTTTTTTTTTTTGCCTCTTCTTAAAGAGAATGGAGGTGTTTGCATAAAGAACATAAGAGGAGAAGCAGCCGTTAAAATCACAGCACCATCACTCAGGCGGTACCTCACCATCTTCAAATACAGAATTCAGTACCCAGCCCCATGAAGAGCACCATGACCAGCACGATAAGATGTTCATATTAAAAAGAGATTGTAAAAACTCTGAGATGGCAGCTCTTGTTTTATTGTATTAGGGTTGTGATACGTCGTAAAAAATGTATCTAGAGATTTAACACACGAATTCATTCTTCAAAGGAGGACTTGGTAGCGATGCCACGTCTTCTCTTCTCTTTATTTGTTGACTTGAAGAGAGCGAGGAAGTAATGCTTAGTATTCAAATAACAATGAGCTTATGTTGAAGCGTCGCCAATGACAAGTTTTCAGGAACTGGACAAGAATTTAATTTATTTTTACAGAGCTTTTGAAATGTGGTGTGCCGTTATCAATGCTTTGCTTTTTGTGACAAATGATTGTGACCAAATACTTAACACTGGCAGGTAATATTTAAAAAAAAAACAGTATCTTTTAGGGAAGTTTGGCCAAAAAAATGGTTTCCCGTGCCGTTTTCATCGCCAGTCAAATCTCCACGGACCGCTTGGTCCACGGACCATTGTCATTAAACATAATAAGAAACATAAGATGCACAGAAGTGTTCATTTATTATTAATGCACATAATTCTCAGATGATAAAACATCTAATAGTTCGTCCGTCGAAAGTCGACCATGGCCATCCTAAACATCGTTCTGTTGCCGGGGGCTGAATCAGTCTGCTGTTGCCGGGGGCTGAATCAGTCTGCAGTGGCTCAGACGGCTGACCTGGCCAAGTCTGGCTCGAAAAGTACCTGAATATCGTTTTGTTTCAATCTAGACTTAATCATAAAGCTTTTAAAATAATTTGGTATCCATTACGTAGATTTCTTTACATAAATACTTTTTATTAAAAAAAAACAAACTGTAAAATTGTTTTATAATTAATTACTATTTCAATCTATTTTCAATCTATCAGTCCAAAATGGGGGTGGGTGGGGGTACACCGAAATGATCCCTACCGTCAACAAAAATATGTTTCTATACATAAATGTGCGTATAAAAAACAAAAACAAAAAAGCACCATTTTTAAGCACAGGGTACTTAGTTCTTCAGGAAAAGTCGCTACATTATCTATTATTTTTTATACAAAGTGGTAGGCGGTCGCAAACACCCCCCCCCCCACACACTTTTTTTTTCAACACTGGGGGGCTAGGATTAAATGGTATAGGCCCTACCCTTTATCTGTGGAATCCAGATTATCAAATACAACTCTAAAATGAGACGCGCGAGACCCGTTTGAGAGAAATGATCTCCACGTGTTACATTTAATGGATCAATTAATCAATAAGCTACACGAATTTGGTCCCTGGTGGTCTGATTACCATGGCAAATACATTTTATGATACGCATCCACTCATGGTGCAACTCATGCCTGACTATAATTGCGGTTTCCGTATATTTAAGCTACTAATTTCACGGGAAGGCAAAATTACGTAAGAAAAACAACTCCCTAGGCTCACATAGAAAATATATCTATTGATCTGAAGATGGCAATGCGAAATGTCCTCCACTCAAATTAAGGATAACTATTTTAATAGGTCAATTATCTTTCTACCTTGGAAAAACTTTTTAACAAATCATTAAGCAACTTAAACAAACAATCCTCAATGCTGTATGTTACAGATATTTACATTTTGATTCTACAAATGTATACTTTGTGTAATCAGAAAAAAACAATTCCCACTTCGTAGGGTTGTTACAATGATTAAATATGGCAATGGAGTCGATTAAATACCTTAATCCTTTCAAATAATTAAACTGTGTGTCATTTAGCCTTGTCATTAATATTTAAAAATAAATCCTTTTTTTTTTAATAGTCCATGTGTAAAATAATGTTGACATTAAAAGGTCAGTGTAAAGTTAAATTTTATAATTAATTTTTTCTTTACAAATGTAATCTAAGATTTTTTTACCAGATAAACAAAATTAATTGGGCTAGAGAGTTTTAATATTTATTGTAGCTATTGGGTCTGATAAATAACACTGCTCAGACAAGAGTCAACATCTTTGTGCTGCACACGGACGGACCATACAAAACAAAAGAAAATGTTTAGACTAATTTCAATAGCTGTGCCCATGAACTACGCGATAAGCCAAAAAATGTATTCAAGAGATTAGAAACATATCAAAACCTATGCTGTCACAGTTAAGATATTACGCAGAAATGTTTTAATTAAATTTGGTTCAAGAAGAGCATTTCATGTAAGGATTTAATCACAAAGTAGTAAACATTTATTCACTACTTTTTTATATCGTCACATTCAATTGATTTCAAATTGCTGACGGAAAGAATGACCAGCAGAGCTAGCTTCAACTTGACGCATTCGGCTTTAGTTATTAAATTAATTAGTGACGAAACTTTTTTATACCTCAGATATATATTTCTTTACACCTGCAATCCAATCGTCATCTTATTCGGCCTCGGATCCAACATTGTCAACATAATAGTCTTCACCAAAATGGGGCTGAAGGACGGCGTGACCGTTTCCCTCTTTTCGCTCACCATTTCTGATTTTGCGTTTCTTTTGATCAGCGCGATAATAACGTCGACAAACATCGTTATAAATTTTCCCCAGGTGGCGCCGCAGACGATCAATCTCCCGGATGTCGCCTACGCCAGCTTCTGGTACAGCATGGTCTTCTACGACACGTCCATGTTGATTCGGGTCTACACCGCCGTGGCGCGTGCGTGCTGCGTGGCCATTCCGTTGACCTTTAGAAACACGTTCACGAAGAGTGTTACCGTTTACTCCGTCGGTGGTGTTTTTAGTGCTGCACTCGTAACCCGCGTCCCGATGCTGGCGTGCCAGGGTTTTCAGAGCGTCTTTGACGGCAAGACTAACATCACGAAATCGGTGCTTTACTTTACGTCCCTGAGGCCGGCAGCTTTTGCGGTTAACGACATCGTCAACAGAAACATCATCACGTGGGGAGCCATCAGCCTCGTTCTCACGTCCCTCTTTGTTCTGAAGTTTAAGCTCATCGCCGCGGCTAAATTTAGACACGGCACACAATCGGGGCAAGGGAGATCAGAATCGATAAACGAAACAAGCAACGGAAAATTTCTACACAAACTAAAAATCTCCTTATCCTCCAGTGGGAATTCAAACAGCTTTCTCGTCGGTAGAGATCTCCAGGTGTTGAGGGTTGTGATAATCGTGTCCATCATATTCATCGTCTGCACGTCCCCACAAGCCGTGTCAGGTGTCGTAAGGCGACTGGTTCCCGATTACAACACCGGGGGGCGATATGGGGATGTGTTCCTGGTTACGTCTATTATATTTGACATCGGCTCCTACCTTAATTCAAGTCTTAACTTTTTTGTCTATTACAATTTCAATACTAAATTCCGACAAGTCTCCAGAAGACTTTTGATCATATCCAAGACAGGTGAAGATTGATTGAATTTTCTTTTATTTGAAATCGATGACAAGATTATTGTCATTAGAAAATCGATTTTCATTAACTTTTGCAATCTTCAAGAAGATTTATTTTAGAAATATAATGAAAATACGACATTCGCATTTTTAAATACTAGATTTTGAATTTTTCATATGCGGACATTTTCAGGACAAAACAGAATTCAGACCAATATGAATATGCCACTTATACTAGCTTCATTTTTACAGTCGCGGCAATTTAAAAAAGTCAGGCTGGTCTGAAAAGGACACCTCTAGATGATTCCAGACCTTGGGGGGGGGGGGGGGGGGGGGGAGCATTTATGACATACAGAAAGGAATCAAGGCTCATTGGATGACCGAGACTTTGATGGATGGAGATTAGGAAGTAAGATTAACATCAGCTGTATGTCCGTGCATGGAGACAAAACATAAGAGAACAAAATGTTCCAGTTTATACATATATATTCCAGTGATATTATTTATATAGTTCATTAAAAAAAACGAAATTTGGGCCCTGCAACAAAAAGAGTGTTTTGTAAGGCCAAATTTAACCAGGCGTTAACGGTTCTCCTTCGAGAAGTGCAGCCGAGATCGTCATTCCAGGATCAGGCTCCTAAAGCCATCTGATGAAGTGTAAATAGCTACTCCATTATCTCGCAAAGAGGGAAAGATCCAATAAATATATATATATGTATATAGAAATAGTAGATATATTTTATACCAGGAAATACATGGATGAACTTTTGACATCTTGATGAACAATTTATTTTTTTTTATTTAAGACAAACAACTAATTAAAAATCAACATTTAAATATTGATTAATACCGGTATGAGGTTTTGTGGGTTTTCACTGTACAGGTTCTTGACCCGTTTTTAACAACAACAGTCTCGTATCATTAACTTTTGGTTTGTAAAAGAAAAACTTATTGTGTGTGGTATTTATCATCATCATCAGCGGCACTACAGCCCATGTAGAGCCCTGCCTGCTCCACCACATCCTTAAATTCGGAACGATCCATGGCTTTCCACCTCCATTCGCGAACCCCCAACTGGTATAAATCCTTCTCTACATCGTCGCTCCATCTCAGCCTTGGTCGACCGGTGAGTCGTCTTCCCCTAGGTTTCTGCCTGTAGATCAAATTTTGGTGCGGTATTTACATATTGATTAATGTACAAATATGGACTGTTCCATGTGTAACAAATGTTGTCTTTGTGACATCGCTTTACTGATAAAATGCACCCACCCATTAAGGGAGGTAATGTAATTAAACACATACACATCGACTATATAAAGTTGGTAATAAATATTAAATGTTTTAAAACCTTTGACTGGAAGACCCTAGTTAAGCCAAAGCACCCTACATACATCCCCCTGAACGATGTGATAATTCTAATCTAACCTTTGAACCAAAAATAATGAACAGTATTTGCTTAAAATAGTACCAAACATATTTGTTTAGGTTTAAGAGAGTGTAATTGAATTTAACAAGTAATATTTATTATAAAAATGTGTTTGAAAGCACATAGAAAAAAGTTTTATTTACATGTTTGCACCAAACAAAGGCGCTAAGAAATCATTCATTTAATAGATGTTTACAGCGCGCCATTCTGCATACAGTAATATTAAAATTGCGGACACCATAAATACATTAACTTGAACGATCCGTGATGTCATTAAAAAAATAAATAATATTATTCTTGATCCACTGCATTTTACGATTTTAATAAATAACTGCGTTTGAGAGAAGTGCTTAGGACCAAAATTTTCAGGAACCATTAATAAGTCACCAGGCAAGACTATGCCAAAATGGTTGCTCTCCATTGTATGTTTTTTCTTGTGATCGATCGACCCCTCTACCAACACACATAGTCACACTTGGCTTCCCGAAGTAGATTATGAGTTCTGTGTGGATATGCTGTCTTTAAATTAGATAAACTCAACCATCGATGACAATCCTGTTTGCCAAGAAATCTTATTTGAATACATTATCTTCATCGCCGATATGTTTTGGATCAAAGCCACTAGTCTGGAAGCCACGTCTGTAAAGTGCTTCATTGTTTTATCTGGGATGTTTATGACACAGCATAGATGACATCATGTAGGTTTCCGTATGCTCCCTGTGATAGCTCACTTCTGAGCCTACCCATGCAGTAATAGCCCCCTTCTGAACCTATACATTCAGTAATATGTCACTTCTGAGCCAACCAAAGCAGTTAAAGCTCACCTTTGAGCTAAACCATGCAGTAATTTTTTTTTTTTTACATTTTTAATATTAAAAAATGATTACAGGATTTCAGTTCTTGCTTTCTTGTATGAGTGCCCAGGTCTGATATATAGGGAATTAAGCACACTGACTCAGTCATCAAAGAAGGACTCCTTAGACGTGACCTGTAAGCTCTTGTCTACTCCAAGGCGTAGGATGAAGGGTAGGGGGCAGGCAGCATATTTTTTATCTATATAAGGGTGGCGTCATTTTTGGACAAGCGCAGTGAATAGCAAGGTATTTTAGGTGTTACAAGACGCTGGCCATATTTTTATTTCACGATCAACTACTAATCGTTATCTGGAACTCTGGACAAAAATTTGCTCAACTGTAAACATTGTATTATGGTAATAGTCAGGTAAACTCGGGCAAAATTCAAGTCAAGATAGCATTTTTATTAAACATGTTTGAGTGAATTATTTTTAAAGCAATGTTATGAGTATAAACGTGTTTGGAAAAAATGAATTTGAAGGGTAATTTATCTTCTTTCAGTTAAGGACTAAATTTCTCAGAGCAAAAAATCTTCATAAAATTGGCAAAAAATAATAACAAATGATTTGTAAACACGCCAACAAATTCTCTTCTTTATTATTTTAGACATCGCATTTCAGTTGTCATTAGCAACGGTCAAAATAACCGAGATTGAAGAAAATAGTTGTTCCATCAATTTGATACGAAAGCTTGGCGAATGAAAAAGGAACAGTTTATTTATGCTACTTATTCTCAATACACAAGTATAGCATTAACTCTACCGAATCAAACATCTGATTTATTACAATGAGCTTTACAAATATTGGTACATTACAACGATTATTACAAATATAGGAACAATACAATGATTATTAAAAATACAGGTACATTACACTGATTACTAAAAATATTGGTAGGCTAAAATGATTTATAACAAAGGTTAGTACCATACAATGATCAATAAAAATATTGGTATTTATAATGATTATTACAATTATTGGTATTATACAATTATTATTACAATTATTGGTATTATACAATTATTATTACAAATATTGGTGTATTACAATGATTATTTCAAATATTGGCATGTTGCAGTTAATATTACAAATATTAGTACATTACAATGATTATTAAAATTATTGGTATGTTACAATGATTACTACAACTCTCATAAATGGAAAGTCTACAGATGGCAGCTGAGTAGAATGTTGACTTTAATAAGCTACCCTCCCCCAACGCCTTTTCCAAAACATCAACAATAACAAGACAACAACAACAACAAAATAACAACGTAATAGTTGAAGCTAAAAAAAGAGCAGAATCTATTATCACAGTTGATAATAGACGTTAAGCTAATTAAAATTATTGGATTCTCAATGGACGTGCTCATATGTAGCTGCAAATCACAAATTTTTTTTTTTTTTTTTTTTTTTTTTTTGAGTACCAAAAGATTAAAACATTAAAGGAATGCTATCGTTGTTAAAAAATTAAGTCCCTTTAAGCACCACAGAAATCGATAAAAATTGATTATCTGATGTCTGTGATCTCAAACATTAGCTTCAGTTGAATGTTGGATCAGTTTTGTTGGTGTTGTTGCTTTGGGTTCAAAGCTTTCCTCGCAACTTGTCGAAACTTGGTGTTGTAGTTATAGTAGACGAATACGTTAAGGCTTGCATTCAGGTAGGAGCAGCAGTCGAAAACAGTGGTAATGACCTGAAACACAGTGCCATAGCGCCCGCCTATGTTGAAATCTGGAACTAGTTGCCTAATGACACCCGACACGGCTGGTGGCACGGCGCAAAAGATGAAGATGACGGACACGAGTATGACCACTTTTAAAACTTGGAGATCTTTACCGACGAGGAAGCTGTTTGACTCCACACTGGAAGACAATGACACTTCTGCTTTTTTATCTCGCTTGTGTAGGAATTTTAGTGCGTTTGATTTGTTCCGTGACTTCAGCTCTGACGTCACGTTGCTATTATGAGCCCCAAGTCTAAATTTAGCCGCAGACACAAGTTTTAACTTTAAAACAAAGAGGGAAATGAGAACGACGATGATGGCTCCCCACGTGATGATGTTTCTGTTGACGATGTCGCTAACCGCGAGAGCCGCTGGTCTCAGCGCGGTAAAGGAAAGGACCAGTTTTGTCATGTTAGCCTTGCTATCGAAGACGCTCTGAAAACCCTGGCACACCAGGAGGGGCATTCTAGTCGCAAGTGATAGGCAAAACACAGTACCCACCACGTAAATTGTTACTTTTTTGGTGAACGTGTTCCTAAAGGTCAACGGAATGGCCACGCAGCAGGCTCGGGTCACGGCAGTGTAGACGCGAATCAGCATCGAAGTGTCGTAGAAGACCATGCTGTACCAGAAGCAGGCATAAGCTACGTCTGTGATATCGATCGTCCGCGGCGCCACCCGGGGGAAAAGGATAATGATGAGAGAAGACGGTACCATTGAGCGGATTAAGAGGAACCATATATCAGAAATCGCAAGTGAGCAGAGGGATACAGTGACGCTGTCTTTCAGCCCCATTCTGGTGAAGACGAAGATGTTGAAGATGTTGGCACCGAGCCCAAATAAGATGACCATCGGCTCTGCGGAGTAAAGAACCACATATTTGATATATAGAATAGCCTCATCGCTAATTAGTTTGTTGATAACGAAAGCCAAATGCGTCGAGTTGGTCGTAGCCACGGTCGTCATCATTTCTGTTCAGTATTTTTAACAATTGAAGGAGTAATTGCATGGAGTTTTTAAATATTTATTAAGTGTTAAAGCGAACGCATTTTATGAACGAAAATTAGCGTAATTATTATTCGATGTGACTTGACAATAGTTGAGAGCATTGAAACGTAAAGAATCGTGTTGATTAGATGGTACTTTCCTTAGTTTACATAACTAGTTTAATGATTAGCCAATTAAAATAATTACATGTTATTTGATAAGTAAATTATTTGTATTGGTATTTTTAATTGAAATGATTTCTCTATTCTTCATTTTGCCCAACCGTTGTATTAATATAATTAGCAAACACGTGAATCTCGCGTGAGCCAAATTAGAATTTTAAACAGAATCAAACAGGCAAATTATGAGCAAAATTACCATTAGTTTATTGAGATGATTAGAGCACGATAAAAAAACAACAACATTAATCTTATTTCGTCTAATCACATGGATCCAGTTGAAGTACGCCTAATAAACCGTCATGGATCTCTTTTTTTAAATTTACATTTATTTTCAAGGAAGCGACTCGTGTAATCATCAAGTAATTAGTGTCTGATTGACAAAAGGACATGTAAATAACACGAGCATCACTTTTATCTTATTGTTCAAGGGGATGTAAACAGTGTAGTCCCAAGTAACTGGAGAGAAACTGAAATTCGGTAAATAGTCCCGACTCAATGTAACATTTAATCTGTGAAAATTTGGTGGAGCCTCCTTTTCACAGGGTCTCACATTGTTAAAAAAAACAAAAAAAAAAACGAAGAATTGTAAAATGAGCGCACACAAATCAATAGTTACAATAAAATACACAAAGAAAAAAGATACATCTTTCCAGACATTGATTTCAGTCAGAATTAATACTTATTATCATTCAGGGTATGACCAATATAAAAGTTAGTGCTATCGAAATGTGGGGTAAAAACAAGGGGTGATAATTACAACTAAATCATTGTAAGTAATGCGCCACCAAACTGATCAAGCGGAAAAATTAAATCGCCAACGTAAGGACAAGCATGCAATACGGTTTATACCAGGCAAGGCCATTGAAGCTGTACGGCAAAAAGCCACTAAGTTCAAAATTTTGTCTTTGTTTAAACTTAATCGAGGGGGTGGGGAGAGAGACCCTAATGCCCTAGAAAATTTAAATATTGAAACTCATGAACACTATGCCTGGGATGACCAAAATTCAAACTGGAAACCCACGTCTTAGGAGACATGAAACTGCAAGTGACAGAATGTTTACCGTAAGTCCCACCGATAGAGAGAAATGGTTCCCTACGAAATCTATTTCTCACTGTTAGAGGAGTAACATCTTTCTAGGACCTAACAACTGTCAAAGGATTCCTATCCCCTTTGCAACTTTCACAAAAAGCATAAATTGCTAGAGGATTACCTGATGATGACTCAGAATGGGATACTGCCCAACCGATGCTGCAACCAATCAAATCCCAGTAAAGCTTAGGAAATTGTTTACATTTATTTGTACAATGTGTAAGCCGTCTGTTGCAGAAGCATTTTTCTACAGATTATGGAAGACTGTAAGAGATGGTTTCTTGAAGGAGAAGAAGCTCTCTATTGGACACTTTAAAAAAAATTGAATTTATCCTTCAAACACATGAAAAGTTATTGGCAGATTTCTGACCTAGAACTACCAGACGGCCACTATGTCACTGGCCCCCATCATGTGGAGTAAATGCATTTGATTCACTATAAAAAGAAATATTCGCCGAAGATCTAAAGTTCCTTCTAAACAACATTTGGATGTGCAGTCTTTCTTTTTTTCTTTTTTTTTTTTGATGTGGATTATAGAAAAATTCTTCCTTTTGTTCCACATGGAAGTAGAACCAAAATAATTTCTTCATGCATGAAGAATCGTCAGTGTTGAATAAATATTCAGGTCCTAAATTTATACCACAACATGCTTGCCTGTGAGGACAATGTTCCATCAGAATACCCTTTTCTGCAAGTAAAGGTCAAGTTTTTAAAACGGACAAACAAGACAATTTTTTTTTAGAAAGGTCAGTTTTGCACAAAGAAGATTTTGCCCGATAAGTGAACTTTGTAGCCACCAGTGGCTTTATCAATATGTGCCAGTAAAAATGCTGGCCTCTGCGGCGTAGAGCGGGTTCTTCAGCTGGTTGACTGTGGTTTCCTGTTTAAAATGAACGCCAGTTTTGTTTGACTTCTACACACCGAATTCTGTGAATTTCAATCAGCTAAGTTTATCTGTTGGTCTCTCTGCGTTTTCTGTTGAATGCTTTTCAGCCGAAACGTTCGTTGTTTAGTTTTGTAATCTTTTAGGTTTTCCCTCCTATGTATGTTATCTCTTATATATATGTTGCTTCTGGTTTGTACTGCTTCCTTGTCACAATGCCCTCCCCCTACTCAACATGTTTTATATTAATAGTACTGAGTGGGGGAAAGAAAAGCTGTCAATCAGCGAGCATCATGCGTGACGGTGGAACTCGGGTGAAAAGGTTGAGTCTTTTTATTTTGGTGGTGGGGGGGACGACATTTAGATTAATCAATAAAGAGCCATCGGTATTGTGAAGGGATGAATGCAGGACTGTTGTTTAATGGCTGGCAGGCTGGATGCAGGACTGTTGTTTAATGGCTGGCAGGCTGGATCCAGGACTGTTGTTTAATGGCTGGCAGGCTGGATCCAGGACTGTTGTTTAATGGCTGGCAGGCTGGATCCAGGACTGTTGTTTAATGGCTGGCAGGCTGGATGCAGGACTGTTGTTTAATGGATGGCAGGCGGGATGTAGGACTGTTGTTTAATGGCTGGCAGGCTGGATGTAGGACTGTTGTTTAATGGCTGGCAGGCTGGATGTAGGACTGTTGTTTAATGGCTAGCAGGCTGGATGCAGGACTGTTGTTTAATGGCTGGCAGGCTGGATCCAGGACTGTTGTTTAATGGCTGGCAGGCTGGATGCAGGACTGTTGTTTAATGGCTGGCAGGCTGGATGTAGGACTGTTGTTTAATGGCTGGCAGGCTGGATGTAGGACTGTTGTTTAATGGCTGGCAGGCTGGATGTAGGACTGTTGTTTAATGGCTGGCAGGCTGGATGTAGGACTGTTGTTTAATGGCTGGCAGGCTGGATGTAGGACTGTTGTTTAATGGCTGGCAGGCTGGATGTAGGACTGTTGTTTAATGGCTGGCAGGCGGGATGTAGGACTGTTGATAGGCCTAATTTTCAAAGGTCAACGGGCAAGGTGTAGGGCTGTCTGTAGACCTATAGCTTAAAGGCCGGCATATATTTCAGAAAACGAGAAATTATCCCTTTTTTTGCTTTAACACTTTAACGCGTCAGGTAATTTTCTCAAAATGCCCGGACCCGGTATAAAATAAACTTCACCCGGTTAAGTCCAAATGCTACAAGATGTTTTTGTACTTAAAATTTTCTTCAGCAAAATCTCTTAATACTTAAATATGTTTGTTTGTTTAGGGAAAACAGCTCTCACAAAGAATTCATTTTAATATAAGAAATTAATTTACTGTATAATGATAAACTTGTAATACATTAATAGGTTTTTAAAAAAAATCAAATTGCACACACACACACTATTTATTTTTTAAAACGGGATAATTGCAATTAAAGTTGTCAGAACATCTGATTATGTTGGAAATGGGATGACGTCAGTTGATGTTCAGGCGTTCTAAACAGTTCAAAACTCCTAGATGTCAACGGCACTGAGTTTGACAATTGCCAGATGTCAACGTCACTGGGTCTGATTATAGCTAGATGTCAACGCCACTGGGTCTGATTATAGCTAGATGTCAACGTCACTGGGTCTAACTATAGCCAGACATCAACGGCACTGAGTCTGACAATAGCCAGATCTAAACGGAACGAGGCTGACAATAGCAAGATTTCAACGTCACTGAGTCTGACTCTAGTCAGATCTCAATGGCACTGAATCTGACTCTAGCCAGATCTCAATGGCACGGAGTCTGACAATAGCCAGAACCCGGCGGCATTGAGTCTGACAATAGCCAGATTTCAACGTCACTGAGTCTGCAAATAGCCAGATTTCAACGGCACTGAGTCTGACAATAGCCAGATCTTGGCGGCAATTGAGTCTGACAATAGCCAGATTTCAACGTCACTGAGTCTGCAAATAGCCAGATCCCGGCGGTATTGATTCTGATAATAGCCAGATCTCAATGCCACGAAGTCTGACAATAGCCAGATCTCGTAGCAAAATATATTATAAAAGTGTATTTGGAATTTTTCAATTAAATTTAAATAAACCATGATGTCAAGCTTATTTTTACATTATTCCATTTGATCTGCAACAAACAATAACTCATCAAATGAAATGTAATATGCATTGCAAAATAGAAGTACTTGAAACTGACTTATCATATTTTTATTAGAAACCTCCACCATGGCTGAAGAGTGGCACAGTGATGTAATGATGATGATGTTATTACACCTTTGAATAACCACTGATGCATCGCACGTGCTCAACTTACAAATACACATTGTGGCATGATGATTTGGAATAAACACATTATACTCACCGAATTCTAAATGATTGCTGATCTTGAGCGGTGTGGATTTGTGTATGTGTTCATTCCAGTTACAAACGGATTGATATCCTAACCGATGCATTCTCTTCTGATGGCTTTAAAAAAAAACGGAGCAAGTGAGTTGCAAACACATTCTTTACAAACTAACAACATAAAAAACATTTTTTTTTTATAATCTGCAAATGAGGAGTGAGTTTTGCAGATCTTTAACATCTAAATCAGAACGTGAAAGTTTAAAAAAAAAAAAAAAATAAGAATTAAGTGGCAAGAACTTAAACAAATAAAAGTACAAGAACAACAACGGACTTTTCCCCCCAATGATTTAAAAAAAAACGGAGCAAGTGAGTTGCAAAAACATTATTTACAAACTAACAACATAAAAAACATTTTTTTTTTATAATCTGCAAATGAGGAGTGAGTTTTGCAGATCTTTAACAACTAAATCAGAACGTGAAAGTTTAAAAAAAAAAAAAAAAATAAGAATTAAGTGGCAAGAACTTAAACAAATAAAAGTACAAGAACAACAACGGACTTTTCCCCCCAATGTCTTGAAAACATCACGGGAACGCAAACTCTATCGAACTTCCAACAAATCAAGTCGACATATTTTATTGAAACTTTTGGACATTCTGTTTACAAAAATATGAAGAAGAGTAAAATTCTAGAATTAAAAGACAAGCAGACGTCACCCAAAAAAATAAAAAAGAGAGAATTTTTGTTAAAAAATCATTTTATAAAATAAATTTCATGAGTATGTAGCGTTAACTTTTGTCTTACTTGATAATTTCTTTATTTTAAAATATCTTGTTATGATGTCATCTGAAAAACAAGCAATTTTATAATGAATAGTCCACAGAAAAATACCACAAATTATAAACAAGTGTCGATGACCTCAAAAATTAATAAAAGACAGCAATTTACTGTGTGGAGTAGAGAGTATGGGAACAATTTACTGCGTTGGGTAGAGAGTGGGACGAATAATTTACTGTGTGGAGCAGAGAGTAGGGGAATAAGTTAGAGTGTGGAGCAGAGAGTAGGAGAATAATTTACTGTGTGGCAAAGAGAGTAGGAGAATAATTTACTTTGTGGCACAGAGAGTAGGGGAATAATTTACTTTGTGGCACAGAGAGTAAGGGAATAATTTACTGTGTGGAGCAGAGAGGAATGCAATAATTTACTGTGTGCGACAGAGAGTAGGGGAATAATTTACTGTGTGGAGCAGAGAGTAGGGGAATAAGTTACTGTGTGGAGCAGAGAGTAGGGGAATAATTTACTGTATGGAACAGAGAGTAATGTAATAATTTACTCTGTGAGACAGAGAGTAGGGGAACAATTTACTGTGTGGGACAGAGAGTAGGGGAATAATCTACGGTGTGGCAAAGAGAGTAGGAGAAAATTTACTTTGTGGCACAGAGAGTAGGGGAATAATTTATTTTGTGGAGCAGAGAGTTGGAGAATAATTTGCTGTGTGGAGCAGAGAGTAATGTAATAATTTACTATGTTGAGCAGAGAGTAGGGGAATAATTTACTGTATGGAGCAGAGAGTAGTGGAATAATTTACTGTGTTGAGCAGAGAGTAGGGGAATAATTTACTGTGTGGAGCAGAGAGTAGGGGAATAATTTACTGTGTGGAGCAGAGAGTAGGGCAATAATTTCAATGTGGTCTGGCATAGTGGTTTTGAACTTTTTAAAAGGTAATTTTTTATGTAATCTGAATAAAATAAACCTTCTGATCTATCACCTTTGAATCTTTAGGAATATTGTCCTCAACTTCACACATACTTCTGAGAAGATATGTTGATATATTTTAAAATTGGATACTTGAGTTAAAACTTTGAGCCCTCCGTGGCAGTACTCAGACTTCACCTCTCGTTTTGACATTTCTGTGTGTTTGTTTTTCACTAAACGGAATTAAAAACGTAGGTGCTAATGAATATTATTGACTTTGATTTTGTTTGCAACCACCCTAACATATAGTACTGCTTCAACAGATACTATGAAGAAGATGGTTGCTAAACGTTCACAGTACTGCAATGACAAGAAGGTTAATCAAGACGTGATATCCCGGAAAGATAGTCCTGCCTACCGGCTCAAATACACTTGTAATATTTATAGGCTGATTATCTCAACACCTCAAGAGTGTCCGTGAAACACGTCGACTCAGTAAGTGCATCAGTTCAAAAGTTAAAAAGGACAACTTGGGGCCACACAGTAAGTAAAACACACCGCGATTTTCAAATTAATGTATACCTCCAAATAACCGTCTCAGTAAGGATCGATCAGTTTTTGCTGGTCTTCGATATGCTTAAAATGCTTTTGGTGACTTGTCGGAATTTAGTATTGAAAAAATAGTAGACTAAAAAGTTAAGACTTGAGTTGATGTACGAGACGGTGTCAAGAAGGATTGTAATAGCCTCTAAGACATTTTCAATGCGCATGTCACTGGTGTAATCGGGCATTATCCGTCTTACTACAGCTGGGATGGCTGGCGGACATTGCAGATGATGAAGATGATGGACACGAGTATCACCACCCTCACCACCTGGAGATCTTTACCGACGAGAAAATTGCTCGGATTTTCATTGGAGGATGTCACGCGTCCAGATTTTCTTCCGTGTCTAAATTTAGCCGCAGAAACAAGATTATATTTCAGAACAAAGAGGGAAATAAGAACAATGATGATAGTTCCCCAGGCGATGATGTTTCTGTTGACGATGTCGGTAACAGCGAGAGCCGCTGGTCTTAGGGAGTTAAAGTAAAGTACCAATCTCGTGACGTTAGTCTTACTATCAAAGACGCTCTGAAAACCTTGGCACGCCAGCATTGGGACGCGAATCGCAAGTGAAGCAGAAGACACGGCACACACCACGTAAATGGTAACATTCTTTGTGAAAATGTTTTTAAAGGTTAGCGGAATGGCCACGCAGCACGCTCTGGCCACGGCGGTGTAGACCCGAATCAACGTGGATATGTCGTAGAAGACCTTGCTGTACCAGAAACTGGCGTAGACAACATCAGAAAGACTGAACGCCTTGGGAGCCACCTCGGGGAATAAGTTAACGATGGTAGCGGACCGCCTCATCGCGCTGATCAACAGATACGAAAAGTCAGAAATGGCCAGTGCAAACAGAGATACAGTGACGCCGTCTTTCAGTCCCATTCTGGTGAAGACGTTGATGTTGAAGATGTTGGAGCCGAGCCCGAATAAGATGATGACTGGTGCGCACACGTAAAAAAATGCATAGTTAAGGTATACAACCGCCTCATCACTAAGTAGTTCGCCAGTCACTAACGCTTTTTGCGGCAAGCTGAAGGGAGCTGTTGTGTCCATCCTTTCTTTGCAGGAGTTTTAAAAATTTTCTTTTAATTTAGTTTGTCAGCTCAAATGTTTTCGACATTTGTTTCAGCGATAGATTTACAAGTTATTTTTAAAAAAGTTATCTTTAGAAGTTGATATCTTTGTTAGCATAACACGGAAATGCATCTTTCAAATACTTTGTCGTTAAACTCCTTACTTATCTAATGAACAGGATCCTTTCCTTTTCCACCACACCCTTAATTTTTGGAATCAGTGTGGAGCACAACTTGGGTATCGATGGCAAGAAACCAGCTTGATTACTTTTATTACATAAACTCCTTTCATCCTGTTATTTATACAACTCTTTAATTTAAAAACAGGACTGGATAAATTCCCAGGTCAATAAATTAAAATATTTTCTCTCATACATTGAGATGCATATTTCAGTTTTCTAAAAGTCTGTTTATGCCCTTTTTATAATATGAAATAATTCAGCACAGTCCTTACAGTACCAAATAAAAAAATACAATACTTTCGAACTCTTTAGTTCATGGCTATACGACAGGATCATACTAAAGCATATATGGTACTCCCCTCTCTAAAGCTGATCAAATAGTTTGAAAATGTAGACATCATCAATGCAACTCATCTCAACATCTAATCAATTTAACAGCCTTTTTAATTGGAAAACTTTATCCCGGTTGAAACAAAATGAAAGCTGGTGGAAAAGTTCGACAAGAGAGTGCAATTTTTAATGATCTGTTTTCAAAGGTTTAGTTCAATTACTTTGGCTCTTCAAATAGGAGGGGAGGCGCTGACATCATTAAAATTGTAGGTCAATACGAAACTGTCATTAGTCTATAAGCAGACGTTTGCTCCGGCATAGTTGAATATAATTGTCACGTGAATAAGATGTTATGACAATAAACAAATTACCGAGTGACATTCCTGTACATTATTTTTGACAATTAAATTTTTTCTGCTTTTTCTTTTCTGCCTTTTCAGATTTTTATTTTTTTAAAATACATAATTGTCCACCTGGTTCTTAAATTTTTTTTTTATCTATTTACATTCATACAAGGGACAACGGGTTTATTTATAAAAACTAATGAAATAATGTGTGTGTCGTAATGACGTAATTTCTTAATAATTGGCCGTGAAGGGCATTTAATCAAAAGTTCTTTAAATATTATTTCAAACACGAATCGCTAAATATCATACAAGTCCACTGACGTCCTGTTTGTTAATGCGGCTGTTGAATTTTTTTTTGCGAAATAGTTTTGTGTTGTATGGCGATGGCATAATTTGTCCTTTACTTGTTAAATAAGTAGGTCTGATTTCACTTGAAAAGCTTCCACGCGTATATGCATATCCTTATTATTGTATCGCAGAGGAGATTAAACTGTCTTTGAAGTGGCGCATTCAAACAGTTGAGAAGCTCTGGTGTTTCTGTTAGAAAGGCTAGGTGACATTTCCATTCTGCATCTTTTACCTCTGGTACTTCTCTCAGAAAGGCAATGTGACATTTGCATTCTGCATCTTTTACCTCTGGTACTTCTCTCAGAGAGGCAATGTGACATTTCCATTCTGCATCTTTTACCTCTGGTACTTCTCTCAGAGAGGCAATGTGACATTTCCATTCTGCATCTTTTACCTCTGGTACTTCTCTCAGAGAGGCAATTTGACATTTGCATTATGCATCTTTTACCTCTGGTACTTCTCTCGGAGAGGCAATGTGACATTTCTATTCTATATCTTTGAGCTCTGGTACTTCTCTCAGAGAGGCAATGTGACATTTCCATTCTGCATCTTTTACCTCTGGTACTTCTCTCAGAGAGGCAATGTGACATTTCCATTCTGCATCTTTTACCTCTGGTACTTCTCTCAGAAAGGCAATGTGACATTTCTATTCTATATCTTTGAGCTCTGGTACTTCTTTTTATTATTATTTGACAATAAATAAAGTTCCATAACTCTCTCTCTCAACTCGGCCGATCGACTTCTGTGTGGTACAAATTTCTTCATAGGTAGCATTTAAATCACAAAAAAATAATTCCTGAAGTGTTTTAGTCATTGGGATATGAGCTCTAATGAAAGTAGCACACGTTAGAGCAATTGTTTGCATTAGTTATGTAGGACAAACATATTTCAACCAGTCTGATATTTTGGTCGAGTCTGTTTGTCGGACCCATCCTGTGTTTAATATGTTCCTGAGTAGTGATATAAGAGGTACATCGACAAATAACTACACTTATATTTCAAAGAGTGTTGACAATTAACAATATGGTTACAACATGATTTCCACATCGCACCATTCGCCTTTGTCACATATCAAATACCTGATGCACATCATGCCACAGCATCATCAGATGTCAACAATGTTTTGTTTAGCCCATTCATGTTCGAAAGCATTCAAAGTTTGAAGAATCTTCTAGTAGTTATACATACTCTCCTGATATTGTTCCCTGGGTCGTTTTGGTGCATCAAGCTCCACTGTGAATTCGAAATAATCATTTTTTATACTAATGAAAATTAGAAGTTGAACGTGATCAGGAACATCATTGCCTTTGTCGCGTGTCTACACAATGCATAATAGGGTGTACCATTTGAGTGCGGACATCTATTAATAGAACATCCTGGCAGTCTGTTTGGCCAATCTTATTACATGGTCGAAAGAAATAACTCAAATTAATCTCTCACCAGCTGTTCGGTTCTGCTGCGTTAATCTGAATCAGCAAAGTGGGCCTTAGCCTAGACCAAAACTTGTGTACAGCTTTATGTTACGAAAGATTTTACAAACGAATTGTCACTGCTTTGTTTATTTTGAAATACATATTTTACAGCAATTTTTAAACAAAATCTTGTCTAAAATTAGTAACGTTACGTAGTGTGCTGTGACGTTCTCTGGTCTTAGAAATGACAAACACAATAGCAAATTTTCTTTAATGAGATTTACAAATTCAGAATTGTCTCCCATGTCTTCGCTTTCTTCGTGTAGGTGTAGGTCATGAAAGTTAACTGTACTAAACAGATAGCATCTCTGTACATGTCTCTTTTGGAAACAGAAGGAAGGCGTCTCGCTATAGGATTAGGACTATAGAGCACAGACGTCGAGTCCTTTTGTGTATCCGACACTTGCCGTGAATTCGTGAATTCAGAACATCATGAGCCTTTGCGCGGAAACCCGTTCATCGGTATGGAGGCTGTTATTTAAGGACCACTGGTCTAAAGAGTAAAAATTACTTCAATTCAGTGGTGTAGAGGCCTTTACCTACTTGGTAAAAAAGTATTCTTAAAGAGTTGACTCTACAAAAAAAAAAGGGATCTGCAACACCATTATCAAATTAGATCTATTCCATGGAGTTGAAACTTGGAGAACATCAGCCAGAATGACCAAAGACGCGTAGAGTTTTACAGACTGGACTAAATTTATTTTTACCTATCATCACCATAACGTCTCGACCATACCGATTTTCTCGAAAATCCTTGCCATTCTCCCGATCCGTCGCTTATCCAGATACCCACTAAAATATTTTTCGTACCCACTCCCATTGTGTTTAGGCGAGACAAAAAAAATGTCGTGATCTTCTTGTGGTAGCCACCTTCATGCTACCCCCTCCCGCGTTGGGATGCGGTCATGTTAACAGCGCCCTAGCAAGACTTTCCCATTTGTTATCTACACCTAAAACATTCTCTTCCGTAAGGGTAGCTATCAGACATGGAGTACATTGGCGCAACTGGTGGGCGAATTTGAGAAATATTTATTGAACGCCTTCGACACACCATGAAAGACAAAGAATGTCCCGCCTCTTCAGTAGAGGCGACGGCAAAGTTGCCACGGATGTGTCCATTACGGCTATTGTTTCTTCAACGAGCTCTTCTGCCAGGGTTGGCTAGGGGAATAAACAAGAATAAATTATGTTTGGGGCCCTGACTTCACATGGCAACCTTGACACCACATGGCAACCCTGACACCCTATGGCAACCCCGACACCCCATAGCAACTCTGGCACCACATGGCAACCCTGACACCCCATGGCAAACCAGACACCCTATGGCAACCCTTACACCACATGGCATCCCTGACACCCCATTACAAACAAGACACTCTATGGCAACCCTTACACCACATGGCATCTCTGACACAACATGTCAACCCTGACACCACTTGGCAACCCTGATTCAGAATGCCATAACTGTCATTTACTCTTTTACTTGCTAAAATTTTACCCACCCTTTTATTAATCAAAGTCAATCATCGTATACGTCCTTTTATTTTGTTTATTTTTATTATTACAGTGCTCTTTTGTAGCGCGGTACTCCAGCCTAGGGCTGGGCCCACCGAGCTGCACATTCAAAAATATTAGCAAAAATATCATGAAATTTTAAAAAGTACTTAATGTATTTAATTAAAATACATCTGTAAATATATATATATATATATATATATATATATATATATATATATATATATATATTTACAGATGTATTTTAATTAAATACATTAAGTACTTTTGACTCTTCAAACAAAAGTCAACATTTTCAAGACAAATATCAAAACTGTCTTCTCTATGGAGCCGAAACTTGGAGAGCAACAGCGAGCAGAGAGTAAAAACACTTCATAAACACTTGCCTATAAAAAAGATCCTGAACACCAAAGGGCACCATCACCAACAAAGACCTTCTTGATAGGACATACCAGGAGCCTATTGCTGTAGACATCATAAGAGAAAGATGGATGTGGATAGGGCACACTCACCGAAAATCCCAAGATAACATCACCAGACAATCCCTAACATGAAATCCGAATGAAAAATGAAAGAAAGGAAGCCCTAAAAATACATGGAGACGCAAGCTAGGGGCAGACACTTAAAGTATGTGATTCAAAGGGAAACAACGGGAAAGGAACTCACGGG